CTTTTCGATACTTTCCTACTGGTCATCTGCACTGTTTTCGTCGTCCAAGTAAGTCTTAATAGTTTGTCACTAAATTAGAAAAGGTATGATTTAAGGCACTTTTGCAAATATGCGCAAATTTTGTTTTTAGGCTTGTGGATCATTACAGACAGGAGGACAAGGGTTTGCACCACCAGGACCACCAGGTCCACCAGGGCGAGATGGGAGAGATGGAATTCACGGCGAATTAGGACCTCCTGGCCCAGATGGTCCAAGAGGAGTTCCAGGAAAGCCTGGATCACCTGGCCTACAGGGTGAGCCGGGCGACAAAGGAAATAGAGGATTGAAAGGACTTCGAGGCAATGAAGGTGATCAAGGTACGGAAGGAGCGATGGGAGGATAAAAACAAGCAGTTGAATTTGTCTGAGATATCGAAGCAGTTCCTCTGAGTCTCAGTGATATCAGTTCTCTTATTTTGGTTGTTTTTGTTTGCATCAATCTGTCGTTGATGCGTTCATCCCATTATGTCATGAAATTGTTAGATCTGAAATTATAATCGGTGCCTTAACGGGCTTTGCTTACAAACGTTAGAACACAAAATTTGAATTTTTTGACGCAAATACTTTATTTTCAAATCACAACTTATCACAATGAATGGAATTTCGCAAAACCAGCCTTCAAATTTCTTTTCTATGTTGAATGGAATTTTTGAATCATTTCGTGGAATTGTAACAGTGCTGTACAGTTTAATTTCAAAATCAGTAAAATTTCGAAATGCTTTTATATAATAATGATAATGAGAGTGATGATATTGAAAGTCTAGTTTATTTTTCAAGGCAAAGTAATTAATAGTGTTATCATTATTGTGACAAAGTGGGATCTGTCATCAATTGACAACTGTTCAATTATTCAGTCTGACATAAATTTGCTATCGATTTACTTTTTGAAGTTGTTATGGCTTTAAGAAATTCGTTTCTTCTTATTATCCAGTCCACCTACTTCATTTTCAGTCATTTCACTTTTGCTTATCTAATTAACAGTTCCATTCTTCTTTATTCAACAATTGTCCTTTCCTTCAAATCGTATGGTCTCAATTACCCTCAACAAAGTGCTTCACTTAAAATAAGCCTAAAGGCCGAATTATCGACAATCACTCATTTCTTCCGTAATGGTCTTTTTAGAGTCCTTTAATAATAAATCATTACGGTGGCGCAACATCTCATTAAGCCGTAAAATTTTAACGGTCTTGATTGTTTCAATATTTTAAACCAATACTCTGGATTACTTTATGCACTTAATTCTCCAAAATATTATTTCGCCAAAACGGAAAACAAAACAAAAGATTCAGTGTTCGAGTACAATGAATGTTGTCTGTATTAATTCGAATGATTTGGTACTCGAAGTTGAAATATATATTTGAAGTATTTCAAAAAATTTCTATTAAATTAGAAAACAAGTTTGAAGATCGGTTTATGAAACTCCATTAACAATGATAAGTTGTGATTTTAAATAAAGCATTTGCTACATGAAATTCAAATTTTGTGTTCTAACGTTTGCAAGCAAATTCTGCTAAGGCACCGATTATAATTCCAAACCTATGAATTTTATTGCGTAATGGGAAGGACGCATTAATGACAGGTTGGTGCAAACAAAAACAACCAAAAATAAGAGAACTGATATCACTGAGAGGATTTTTTCAATATCTCCGACAAATTCCATTGCCTGTTACTTTTATCCTGCTCCTCCCATTGGTCCCATGATTCCTACTTCCCCTTTTTTGCCCTGTTCTCCACGTAAGCCTTGTGGCCCAGGCAGTTCTTTCGGTCCATTTTCTCCCCTCGGTCCATTTGGACCCTTCAGTCCTCGAGGTACTTTCGCTCCTTGTTGTCCAGGGTCTCCTTCACTTCCATCCATTCCACCCAGTCCTGGCGGCCCTGGCAGCCCTGGGGTCCTCTTGAACTGCAGGCCTGAAACATATTTTGCAGAAGATATTTCATACTTAATCTTTCTCACTTTAAATAGCCTGTTCATGAAACTCACTTTGCGAAAATGGCACAAATAACAGCAAGAAAGTGCCGAAAAAATGCATTGACAATCTGAAATTGGTTTTGTGCACAGTGACTAAAAATTTATTGAAATTTTGTGAAGTACGGAAGAGAAAGATGTCAAAAAAGGTATTTAAGTTTCTT